TCAGGGATATGTTTTGGGTCTGTATCCTGGTCCCTTGTTTCTATTGCTTTACCTTGCTTCTTTGTGTGGACTGTGATGGTCTGTTGTCTCCGAAACATTGTGGTGTTTTTGTGTTTATATTTAATTGTTGATTGTATGTTGGAGTGATTCACCCAAGATTTTCGTTTTTTTCGGATGTTATCTAAGTAAGCAGGGTACTGTGCTCCTTTATTCGCCAGTTGGCAGCACTTAGGCACTCACCACCTGTCTCTTTCCAGTTGTCAGCTGCCCATGCTGTCTTTGGCAAGTGGAGCCTAGTCTTAGGTCACTGGAATCCAAATGAGAATGCTGTCACTTTAAATATCCAAAATGGCCGCTGCTTGTATACATTAAAAATGATTGTGCCCTCCAGACAGCCGAAAGTACGTAGCTCAGTTTGTCTCCTTCTTTGCTGTTTCCATTTTCAGTCGTCATCTACCCATGCAGTAGTCCATGCAACCCTTGGTGAGCAGGGCTGATTTTTAGGTTAATTCACAAGTCCTAATACCATTTGGAGATATACAAGTTGTCCATGACATAAGGAAAGCTGACAGTTTGCAGCTCCATTTGTCTTCTTCCTCACTGTTTTCATTCAGGTTCTTCTGCTAGTTGGTGTTTAATCCACTTCTGTATCCTTCATTTCAAAGCTCAGGGGTCTAGGATTATCTTCTGTATTTGTGTCAATTGGTTTCTCTCTTCTTTGTTGAAGAGGGTCTATATAGTTTGTCTGCCTATTCCGCCATCTTACCAGAAGTCCATTTTAAATTTTTTATAAAAGTAATTCATGTTTGACGTAACGAATTACAACAGTGCAAAAGTGTGTAAACAAACTGTAAAATCTCTTCCCTTAATCCCCAAATCAGCACTTAATTAACACTCAGGATAATTGTTCTCTCCTGAACCTTCGACCTTTCAGTCGTGTAGTGAGTAAGGCATTTGGCTGCTAACCAGAAGATCAGCAGTTCAAACTCACTGGCTGCTTGGCAGAAGGAAGATGATGCAGCCTACTTCTGTGAAGATTTACAGCCTTGGAAACCCAATGGGGGTCACTATGAGTTGGAATCCACACAATGGCAGTGGGTGAACCCTCATTCGGATACTCTTGCTCCCATCAGCCGTCTTCCCTGAGGGTATGATTAATATGCTAAACCTACTTTATTTTAATCCTTCTAATAATTAGTGAATAAGAAAAGGGACATTTGCAGTTTTTTTATTCCTCTAAATGAAGTCCAGATATATATCTTACAGACCAATTTGTAAACCCATATGGAAAAGTTAGATTTTAACACTTAAGAAAAAAAAAATAGGTGTTTACAATAATGTAAAAATTACAAAAGACTAAAGAAAATACATTAAAATGTTAATATAAAGATGACAGGACTTTGGGGGATTTTCTTTTTTCCTCTAATTTTTTCTAAACTAGGGTAATGCATTTGGGTTACATGTATAATGAAGAAAAGAAAGTTCTACAGAAAAAGGAAGAAGTAAGTTTCTTGATAATGATATGCTCAAGTAGTTGGTTGGATTCAAACCAATCAGCCCATAACTGACACTTGTTCAATCTTTATTGACTAAACAGCTTTAAGAAATCAATACAGCTTTTAGGCTCTTTTTTTTTCTGTTATGAATTTACTTCTGTTTACTCAGAATGATAGTAAATGAAGAACTGTATTAATACTTACCAAAAAACCAGCTTGTAAAAGTTTAAACATGAGTCAAGGTCTCAGATATCAAGCATCTTAATATATGTAGAGTACTGTGGAAGAGAGGATGGGTAAGCACCATTCTACCCCAAGGGCACAGCCTCCGATCAGGTGAGACAGGAACCCAAAAAGCTAGATATGGCCTCTTTTAATGTTGTGAGATACAGAGGAAGTGAGAATGGCCCGACTTCATCTTACCTACTTTGGTCATGTTGTCAGAAGGGACCATTCCCTGGAGAAGGATATCATGCTTGGTGAAGCGGAGGGTCATTGAAAAAGGTGAAGGCCCTCAATAAGATGGATAGACATGGTGGCTGCAACAGTAGGCTCAGGTATAGCAAGCATTGTGAGGCTGGCACAGCACCAGGCAATGTTTTGTTATGTTGTATACAGGATCACTATGAGTTGAAGATGACTTGACAGCACCTAACAACAACAGCAGCTTGCTGGTTGGGGAAACACTTGAATGTCACACTGCAAAGCCAAAGCTTGGGTGATCTTGAGTGATTCTGAGCAGAAAATTGATATAAAGGTAGCTTAGGACACCCCCTTTGGCTAAGTGATGGAAAAAGACAAGGATGAGGAGATGAACCCTACATGAATGAGGAATGGGGCCTGAACTTAACCGGTGGCACCAGAAGGAAGACAGGTGCAATATTTTGTAGAAATAGTTTCAGAGACCAAGGGTTTAGGATTCAAACCCCATCTGCCTCTTAGCAGCTGTAAGGCTGTGGAGATGTTACTCAACTCCCCAGAGTCTGTCTCTTTGTCTACAAAATGGGCATAATAATAGCTCCTATGTCATAGGGTTGCTGTGTTAAATGTGATTATTCTTGTAAAGCATTCAGTATAGTGCTGGGCACATGATGCTCAATAAATGTTAATGTCATTGATGATACTAACTGGAACTGGAGATGGGAAGGAAACAGGTGTTAGATGCAGTGACTGAGTAACAAGGGAAGAAAAATCTCAGGAATACCTTCTGGGGGGAGACTGAGTGGATTTGGATCCCAGCTCTACTTAAAATTGTAATCTTATACAAGCTACTTAACCCCTCTGTTTCCTTAGCTGTAAAATGGACCTAGTATTGATTGCTCCCTATGGAGCAGCTATGAGAACAAACTGAGATGTCAGTTTATAGCATATGGTTGGTACATTTTATGCGCCAGTAAGTATTAGGTATTGGGTTTTGGGGGGAGCTGGAGTATTGAATAGATTTGGCCCTTCCATTTGTCATGGCACCTGTGGGAGACATGCAGCAGGGCACTGGCATGTAGGATTCGACCCAGGAGAATGCTCAAGCCTAGAGAAATTTAGGAGTTACAGGGAGATGAACCAAGTGGCAAATCCAGGATACAGAAACATTCTATATGA